TGATTAGTCTATCCGTCTATGGGATGTCAAAACAGGATAATAAAAAGCCAAATTAGATGGTCATAGTGATTGTGTTAGATCAGTCTGTTTCTCTCCTGATGGAAATACATTAGCTTCTGGTAGTGAAGATAAGTCTATCCTTCTATTATATCAAAAACAAGTATTTTTCAGATTATAGATTTATAGAAATTTAGGTTAAAAATGCAAAATATCCTTTTTTGACACACTTTTGCAGAAAAATAATATATACATAATTTAGATACATCTAATAATATGGTTTACCCAAACTTCAATTTTTAATTTTTCAAGGTTTAAGAGAGTTATATATAAACAACCGTTTCCTTTTAAGAGAATTATTCGAGTAACACTTGATTAATTGACTAACCTATATTAACCCTTAATTTAAATCTATTTTAATATCCTTCTTGTGTCCAATATTTGTTGATAGAGTTCTATTTTATATTTTTTTTTCCTTTTTAACAATCTTGAAGCATTACTAAAATGGAAATTATTTTAGCACATTTTAAAATATTATGAAATAGAACTTTTAGTTGCATGAATGCAATAATATCTTAATTCTTTGTATACTGTTTTTTTGGTATTATTCTTATCATAACCAAGCATTTTCTATCAATTTATATTTCGAATGTGAATTGTATAAGATTTATAAAGTATATTCTACAACTAAATCTTTCAGCATTTATCATTTCTAAGTTTTTTAATTTTCTTATTTCTTGAGAGTCATTATATTCTAATATTCACAAAATAATATTTTTCTCAACTCATATTTAATTAACAGTAATACTATTATTTTTTTATTAAATTGATTTTATAAACTTTAAATTTTAACAATGTTATTGAAAAATTTATTTTGGAAATTTAAGAGAAAATACCCAAGTGTGACTAATATTAATGCTTTTTTATATATTTAAATAATAAATCGTTCAATTTATCTTAAGTGGTTGTTATAGAGAATAGAGAAGATAAATTTTATTAAGATAATATTGTGTTTATCAAATACCAATAAATATTTCCTTTTTAATTCTACAATTTAGGTGCAATTTCTGAATTTAATTGTAAAATATAACCAGTTGATGAGTTTTTAAAGACTTAAGGGATATTATTTTTGAATAGATATTAATAAATTTTGTAAAAAATCATTTTGAAGGGACAATAGTGATTATATAGTTCTGACTCTTTAAAAAGCTGTGTACATTGAGTAATAACTGTTTATTATTTGATGTATGTAAAATTTCACTTTGAGCTCAAGTTAATCAATAATTAAGATTCTTATATAATAAGGTTAGAGAAGATATAATTATCTCCTTAAATCTTAATAATTACAAAATTATAATATTTTTTAATATGTTTTCAAAG